CAACATCGAGGGCCGAAGGGCCTGTACTGCGCTGTAATGTTCTATGTTCTATGTTCTATGTTCTATGTTAAGCGGTCACACACTTAAGACAGAGATGAGGAGAAATTTATTTTCTTAGAGGGTCGTGAAATCTGTGAAATCTTTTACCACGGAGGACTGTCAAGGTTGGGTCGTTAAGCATTTTCAAGGCTGAGATAGACTTGAGATAGCTTTTTTATGGAAAGGGCAAGGAAGTAAAGTTGAGGGTTATCAGATCAGCCATGATCTCATTGAATAGTGATATACTTGAAGGGCTGAATAGCCTCCTCCTGCTCAAATATTTTATTGTTATTGACCCTTTAGTAATGGGAAAAAAGTCCTTCCATTCACACTACCTCTGTCCCAATAATTTTATATACCTCACGGCACACTCCCCTCTCAATCTTCACTGCTGCAAGGTAAGCAAATTCAACCTGTCCAAGCTTTCCTGTAGCTCAAACCCTTCAGCCCAGAAAGCATCCTGGGGAATCTCCTCTGCACCCTCTCTAGTCCAATCATATCTGCCTTCCAATATGGGGACTAGATCTGTACACAGTACTTCAGTTGTTGCCTAACCAACATTTTATACCAGAATAACTTCTCTGCTCTTGTATTCTGAGCTTCACTTAATAAAGGCAAATGTCCCATGTGCTTTCTTGGACATAAATGTGCTATTTATTGTTTCTCTATTGCTTTCTGTTTTGGACGGTTTGTTGCCTGCATCTTGTCTGATCTTAATAATGAATGCATTTATTATCTGAACCATTTCCTCTCAGTGTTGACCACCATTTAAAACTTCCAGCCATAGTGAATGGGCTCGGAAAGGTCAGTGTTAATTGGGACTGGGGAGACAGTGACATTTTTCGATATGGAAGTATTAATGCTCACTCGCAAGAAACAAGCAACAGTCTCTCTCCTTTCTTACAAAGCATCTTTCATAGAGACACTTGAGAGAGATGAAAAAAGGTCTGATGTATAAAGGCTGCTTTATGTGATGACTTAGTCAGAAGCCAAAAAGAATCTTTGTGACAACAGATTTCATGGTATATCACTTAAAGTTCCAGTGATGTGTCATGCACAGAACATTTAGACAGAGTTAGTGATGAGGATTGCTGTCACACGTTTGTGTTTGCCATTGGCTACTTTTGGAAAATCCTTTCGATGTATCAGATATTGTCCATGGACAGTACTGCTGCCTCAGACTCAGATGCTGGGGTTTCAAGTACAGTTCCAGGAGTTTAATTCAGATTGAGGCCCACAGTCTGTAGGCGAAGGAGAGAGTGCTGTTTTATTGAAGGTGCTACCTTTCAAGGGAAATGTTAAACTGAGGTCAGTATGCTTCCACAATGATATCTTTATTCATGTTTCCGTTTGGTGACGTATCAGATTGAATTTTTCAGGATGAGTTATCTGGGCTTGTTCCTAGTCTCCTGGATTGGAAACATACCTTTGGGTTGTTTACAACAACCTATAAATTTCTTTCAATCCAGCCAGGAATTGATTGACGCTCTCGTCACCCATGGTCTTTGTGACTCTATTTACAGAGGTTACCACGGTGATTCTTCCTTTAACCCATTCTAGAACCTGGATACAGAGGTTGCCACAGTGACCTGTCTCTTCTGGATTTTGACCATGACGTCTTACTCAGCACTTCCAGCCCAGGGTCGGGTTATATTTTTCCACAAAAATAGTCCTTGTTTCATGTCCTCTGTCTGTTATAAACTTCTTTTCCTTAATGTGATGGCCACTCACTCTTGACCTCTCAACTACCAGTGCAATCAATTCACTAAAGTGTGTAAAAATAACACTAAGGGTATTTCTCATACCCCAACTTAATTGAAATTATCATAGCATAAAGGGTTTACAGGAGGCAGATATCTTGAAATACATTCAGGAGAGCTTTTAGTATCAATGTGTAGAACAACCAACAAGGGAAGCTGCAGTGCTGGATCTAATTCTGGGGAATGAAACGAGGCAGGCGTTTGAGAAAAAGAGATAACAAGGTGTAGAGCTGGATGAACACAGCAGGCCAAGCAGCACCAGAGGAGCAGGTAAGCTGACATTTCAGGTCTGGACCTTTCTTCAGAAAAAGTGTTTGAGAAGACAGTGAGGAGCATTTGAGTAATAACAACCACAATACTATATGTTTCAGTTTGTTATGGTTAAAGAAAAAGATGGTCTGCAAAGAAGGCCTTTGGATTACATTTTATTAAAATAAGGCAGTATCTGGCCAAAATAGATCAGGCAGAGATACTTGAAGGTAAATCTACAGGAGAACAGTGGGAGGCAGTCAGAAAGGTACTGGGGAGACTACAGGCCCAGCATGTTCCTGGATGTCCAGGAATATTCAGGACTGGATAAAAAGGGAAAGGGAGATAGGTACAAAGGGAGCAAAATAACGAAGTCCCTAGAGGAGTATAGCATGTGCTGGTGTGTGGTGTGGGGAGAGCTCAGGAGAGCAATAAGGAGAGCAAAGAGGGAGTATGAGAAAATGCTGGCAGGTAAAATTAGGGAAAATCTGCAGATATTCTACAAATGTATTCAGGGGAAGAAAACAACCAGGGAAAGAATAGTAGGAACTGCAGATGCTGGAGAATCCGAGACAACAAGGTGCAGGGCTGGACGAACACAGCAGGCCAAGCAGCATCATAGGAGCAGAGAGGCTGACGTTTCGGGCCAAGACCCTTCATCAGAAAAGGGGGAGGGGAAGGGGGTTTTGAAATAAATAGGGAGAGAGTGGGAGGCGGATAGAAGAGGGATAGAGGAGCGGATAGGTGGAGAGGAAACAAACAGGTCGAAGAGGCGGGGATGGAGCCAGGAAAGGTGAGTGTAGGTAGGGAGTTAGGAAGGGGATAGGTCAGTCCAG